CGGCGGCGGCTGCTGTAGCGGCGGGCAGCGGGAAGATGGAGGAGCGGCTCTACTCGGTGCTGTGCTGCACCGTGTGTCTGGACCTGCCCAAGGCCTCCGTGTACCAGGTAGGGCCTCCGGCCCGGTGCCGCGTCTTTTAGAGGCCTGGCCCGGAGGCCAGGGGCCGGTACCGGGGCCCCTGAATGATCCAAACATCCACCTTCCAGGCCCGCGGAACCCCGCGCCTGTCCCGAATCGCCTCGTCTCTTCTTTCTTGCTCCGAACCTGCACCGTGTGTCTGGACCTGCCCAAGGCCTCCGTGTACCAGGTAGGGCCTCCGGCCCGGTGCCGCGTCTTTTAGAGGCCTGGCCCGGAGGCCAGGGGCCGGTACCGGGGCCCCTGAATGATCCAAACATCCACCTTCCAGGCCCGCGGAACCCCGCGCCTGTCCCGAATCGCCTCGTCTCTTCTTTCTTGCTCCGAACCCCATTTTCCGTGTTCCATGACCCCTTTACTCCCGGATCTGACTTTCGTATCTCCTTGGATCCCTTGTCTCCTCCGGTTCCTCCAGGGTCCCCTTTTTGACACCCTCCAACTCCCTTTCAGCTGACCTCGCAGAAGTCTGCAGACAGGTGCCCACCTTCCCTACCGCTCCTCAGCACCACCCCTCGCTCTTAGACCCCCTGGGTACTACTACCAGAGGCCTCTTTACTCGAGAGAGCGCCACAGTTCTGATAGCCACACCCCCAAGCATGGCCCTCCACCTTCTGAACAACTAAGAAAATCTCCTTTTCTGCCCTCTGGAGCCCTGTTTCCTTCTGAACATGAACATGAAAGGAGATTGCTTCTGTCTCTTACCCAAACCCTCCGGGTTCCTGATGTGGAAGACACGATCTGCAACAAACCCTACTGAATACTTTCTCCAGCTCCAGCCTCACCAGTTCTCCTACGTAGGCACACCTCACCCATGCCAGGCTGGCTTCCTAGGCTACCAGTGCTGTAGGAAATTTGTCCTCCTCATCCTCATGTGAGGACCCAGCGTGGCTGCTGGACTCAAGGTTCTAGTCTATGGGTTTAACATGCCCTCTCCCATGAAAAGAAGCAGATCTGTGGTTGAGGCCTACAGTCAGTATGAAATAAATGCTGCACCTTCCCCTGGTCTCTCTTTCCACCTCAGTCCTCAGCATCTCTGAGAAGCAAAGCAGATTCCCTGTCAGCCTTCTTTGTATTTACAGGAACTAGAAGTGGCTAGTGGCACCTGTTTCCCTGCTTCTCTTTAGACTGAGGACCTGGGTGAGGGCCAGTATAGGGTGAATGTGGCTAGCTATTTTTCCAATCCTTTGGATCTCCTTGTCCTTGCTGTGGTCTGAGGTTGTTTAGAGGGGACCCCAGTTACCCAGATGGATGGGATACCCACCCCCTGGGTGTAAGACCGGGTACAACTGGGGCAGCATTTCCCACAGCTGCTGGTTCTAGCACCAGTATTTACCTCTCACTTTAGGGGCCATCTGAACCTGCTCACCTCCTGCTCTTTTTCTCACCATGACATCTTGGTCCATCTTAGTGGACGAGCTCTTCCTTTCCTAGGCCTCGAGTGAGTGAGAGTCCAGCAGGATAAGCCAGTAGAAGGGGGTCCCAAAGAATCCAGAGTTTCCTTGTTTCCCCTGTTATAGATGGGCTGAAGCTGGTTGGTCTTGGCATGATGACAGGCCACATGATATTGCCTCCTGGTCTACACAGAGAGCTACAATTCTGTTTCTGCCCAGAGTGGCTAATGAGTAGGCCACTGAGACTAGCTTGTTTAAACCAGCCTGTACTGTGTTAGAAGTCACTCTTGCTTAGGCAGCCGAGATGTAATACAGTGAAATGAATAGAGGCCCTGCCCTGCCAGGTACCCACCTAGGCTAAAGCTAGTCAGTGGCTTCTCTGGGAGCAAACTTGCTGATGTAGAGGATCCATGGCATTGGCAATGAGCTATGGACTCTGGCACCAGCCCCTCTCCTCCATCTCCATCCTTTTCAGGTAATATCTAGAGCAAAGATATTTCCCTATCACCTGCAAAGGCTGGAAGAAGCCTGTAGAATGTGTGGTTTTGGAAGAGCCCTTGGGCAAATGTTGGAACTTTCACTATTCACAGATGACGTGTGAAATGGGAGGGGGGCAAGGGAAAGGAAGGAAGTTTCCTAGTATCTTGGAATGTTGCTAGGGACACCTCTCAGGGCATCTTCCTGCCATGTGCAGTGCTGCCCTGGAGGATCCCTATTGCTGTCCCTACCATGGTACTATGTGTTCAGGACTCTTGCGTAGTCTTCTCAGAGGATCTCAGCACAGATGTCAGGGGTAGGACCACTGCTGGTCATCACCTCTGCCTGAGCTCAGTGTTCCATTTTCTGCTGGTCTTCTTGTGTGATCCATGTTGATGGACTGTTTCTTTAGGCCAGTTTCCACCTTCATCTTCTGCTAGCAGCATTTGTCTACTTCAGCAGAACACATGGCTCCAGGTGGGCACCAGTCATGCTGTGTATCCTGGGGACTGGCTCAGATGCCCTGCTCTGTTGTGAAGAGAAGTAACAGTGCTATACCTGGAGAAAACTCCACAGGCCATTGGGGTTGACTGGGTACATGGTAATTTGAGAGTGTTATTGTCCGTATGCCATCTGTGCTGTCAAGGAAGCATTAGGTAAGCAACAAGAATAAATGCAGGCCATACATGTGGGCTCATCCACCTGGTCCAGAGACTGAACCTCTGCATCTGCAGGTCCAGTTCCTATGGGCTATCCCCATACATCAATACAACACAGGCTGGGAAACCTGCTCAGGGCTCTGACCAAGGCCCTCAACCAAGTGATTCTCATCTCTGTGGTCTGTGTCAAGTCAGGTTAAATGTTGCAGCAGGTACAACAGGTGCGTGCTTTGATGTTCTCTGTAGGTGTTAGGTGTGTCCTGGGCAACTGGCTTAGCAAGGTATGCAGCCACCTTCCTGAGTCCTGGGTGGGCCCTTCCAAAGTCATAAGCAGACACAATAGCAGGTACTTAGTGGGTAGCAGG